CGCCTGTAATCCCAGCACTTTGGGAGGCCAGGGTGGGTGGATCACCTGAGGTCAGGAGTTCGAGACCAGCCTGACCAACATGGAGAAACGCCGTCTCTACTAAAAATACAAAATTAGCTGGATATGGTGGCGCATGCCTGTAATCCCAGCTACTTGGAAGGCTGAGGCAGAAGAATCGCTTGAACCTGGGAGGTACAGGTTGCAGTGAGCCAAGATGGTGTCATTGCACTTCACCCTGGGGAACAAAAGCGAAATTTCGTCTCAAAAAAAATATATATATATATATGTATATTTAAAATTAACCAGGTGTGGCATGCACCTGTAGTCCCTGCTACTCGGGAGGCTGAGGCAGGAGAATTGCTTGAACCCAGGAGGTTGCAGTGAGATGAGATCACTGCCACTGCACTGCAGCCTTGGCAACAGAGGGATATTCCATCTCAAAAAAAAAAAGAAGAAGAAGAAAAGAAAGAAAAGAAAAGAAATAAGAGCAGTTTGAGAAAATGTTCTGGGTGACTTATGCATACAGGTTGGGGAAAGCATGGCAAGAGATGAGGACGGAATGGGGAGCAGACAAGGGGAATGTCAGAAGAAGCTTCCACTTTCTCCCCTGGGCACTGGGGAGCCATGGCAAGTTGAGAGCAGGGGAAGGAGAGGCCTGACTTGTGCTTTAGGAAGACTCCTCTGGCTATCACGAGGAGAGGAATTGCCAGGAGATCGGGGGAGGTTGGATGGGAATGTGGGTGGACCTGGTTGAAGAGGGAGCTGTGGAAATGGGGAGGAGGGGACAGAGGATTTAGGACATAGGGAGGTTAGCTGGATGTCCCCTCTCTCTAGGAAGGACAGAAACCTACAAAAAGTCATCATGGGGACACTTTATTTGATCATCTGCTTGGAACCCAGAGCTACACCACCTGTGCTGGAGACCCGCCAGCCAAACTTTCAAAGTCGCGGTGGGGACAAGGAGACAGCGCCATCTGGTGCCTGAGGGTGTGGCCAGTGAATGTGGAGGGGAGTGTCCTAAGGTTGGCAGCCTCTTTTGATGCAAGCTACCCCACTTTTTTATTGTTGGGTTTTTTGAGACAGGGTCTCACTCTCGTCCAGGCTGAGTGCAGTGGCATGATCATGGCTCACTGGCTCAAGCCATTCCCCACCTCAGCATCCTGAGTGGTTAGGACCATAGGTGAGTAGCACCACACCCAGCTAATTTTTTTGGTTTTTGTAGAGATGAAGTCTCCTTATGTTACTCAGGTTGGTCTCGAACTCCTGGACTCAAGCGATCCTCCTGCCTTGGCCTCCCAAATTGGTGGGATCACAGGTGTGAGTCACTGTACCTGGCCCACCCCACTTTTGTTTTGTTTTTCTTTTTTTAATTTGTTTTTTCGATTTTTTTTTTTCCCGAGACAAAGTCTCGCTCTGTCGCCCAGGCTGTAGTGCAATGGTGCCATCTCAGCTCACTGTAACCTCCACCTCCCGGGTTCAAGTGATCCTCCTGCCTTGGCCTCCCAAATTGCTGGGATCACAGGCATGAGTCACTGTACCTGGCCCACCCCACTTGTATTTTGTTTTTCTTTTTCTTTTTTTTTTTTT